TTTTTTTTTTTTTTTTTTTTTTTTTTTTATATTTACCGGGCAGTTCTGTTTGTGACGATATATATATATATAGGGCGATGGCCTTGAGGTATTATCATCGGACCAACCAGCCCTTGAGATGTATTATCAGACGGCCAAAATCGCCCCCCGAATTTTTATTATTATTATTTATTTTTTTTTGGACAGGCTGCCAGCGGCTGACGTGCGCAGGCCGCGCGCGCTCGGATTGTGTGGGCGCGCGCCCACCTGGGCGTGGCTCGGCCGCGCGGCCTAGGATCCCGACCGCGGACTCGGATCCTGCGGCCGCGGCCGAGGGTGCCACGTAGTCCCTCGCTTCCAACCCCCTACCCTTACCACTGCTTCTCGCCTGACGAGCCTTCTATTGACTATTCTCCTACCATCGTCGAGGACGGCACTGTTGAGTCTCGCTCGGGCTATTGTCCGATAGCCCTCTACTCCCGTCAGCTCCTGCCCATCGAGATGAACAACAGAGTTGATGAACGTGAGGTTCTCGCAGTAATTTACGTCACTCGGCATTGGCGTCACTACCTGCACGGGGCACCATTCACGGTACGCACGAACAACTCTGTTATCCAGACTTTTCTTACCAAGTCGAAGCTCACTCCTCGACAGGCTCGTTGACCTATCCGAGTTTGGTTTCACCACTAAGCACATCAAGGGTGCGACAAATCAGGTCATAGGTGCCTTATCTCGGTGCCCTGACCACATAACCTGCAGCAGATCCAGCTCACTGCCATCTCGGTCACCACCATCCACCACTCAGTGACCGACGATTTTCGCACTCAGTACTGCCACTGCCCGGACTACCGTGAGATCCATGCGACCTTTCGGAGTGGCAAGACCGTCTCGAACTACTCTCTCGGGGACAACGGTCTTGTGTATTGGCACAGTTCAAAGGGCACCAGAGAGTCCCGTATTTGTGTTCCCTCCACTGGACAGCTACATGTCCGAGCAGTACCAGAGTTCCATGACCAGGCAGTCGCCGGTCATATGGGCTTCCACAAGGCGTTGGTTCGTGTGAGCCACATGTACGTCTGGCCGAAGCGCAAGGACTTTGTAAAGGACTATGTCGCCAAGTGTTCCACCTGTCAGGAGATGAACAGTGCAAACCACCTGCCATATGGTTTGCTCCAGCCTCTTCCTATCCCTCATGGTCATTGGCAGTCCATCTCAATGATCTTCATCGGTCCTCTTCGTCGTCCGACCACCCGCGACCATGATGTGATCCTGGTCATCGTCGACCGCTTCACGAAGCGTGCACGCTTTGTTCCATGTTACTATGCCATCAGTGCACGTGAGGTCGCCGACATCATGTTTGACAAAGTCGTGCATGACCACGGCTTACCTTTGAGCATCATATCTGACTGCGACCCGCATTTTACCAGCTGATTTTAGCGACGGCTCGATGAGGTTTACGGCACACAGCTCCGCTACTCCTCGTCTTACCATCCCCAGATCGATGATCAGACCGAGGTCACGAACAGGACTCTCGAAGATATTCTCTGAAAGATTGTTCGTGACGACCAGCAGTGGGATCTTCATCTTGCCCACGTGGAGATAGTCTACAACTACACCGTCTCACCAGCCACGGGGATGTCGCCTTACTATTGCGACCTTGGCTATCACCCTCGTGTTCCCGCGGACTTCCTTCGACTGTCACAGATGCAACCTGACACGAGTTGTCCCACTATGGATGATTGGGTTGCACACATGATGTCAATCATGAAGACCGCGCATGAGCACATAGCCGCTTCCTAAACTCGCATGGCCGCACGTGCAAACCGATCGAGGGTGGATCATCCATTCAAAGTCGGTGATGATGTGCTTATCGTCMCCCGCCACTTACATCTCGAAGCGGACACGCTTCGCAAGTTCCGGCGTCGCTTCTTTGGCCCATGCCGCATTCTCCAGGCCGTCGGTTCTGATACAGCTTCTAGCCCGGCCAACTTCCGTGTGAAGCTGCCCGACTACCTACTCCAGGCTCGTGTGCACGATGTCTACCACGTCTTGTTACTGCGTCCCTACCGCAGACCGTCTGAGCATTACGCCAGACAACCATACGAGTGCCCTCCACCCATCATGGTGGACGGCCACGAGGAGTTCCTCGTTTCATACATCATTGGTCGCCAAGTCACCAACGACCACCCTTCTCACGTCGAGTATTTCGTACGTTGGAAGGGTTACCCTGATGAGGAGGCTACTTAGGAGCCCCTTGAGCACTTGCAGCACGCTTGCATGTTGTTGCGTGCTTGTGACCGTGCTCGTCGTGCTGGGTTGACTGCTCCTCCCCAGCCCACTGGCCCTCCTCCTCCCTCGGTTGAGGAGACTGCTGAAGTTGAGCCTGCTCCATTTGAGGCAGACCTTTAGCAGCAGTCGGATGCTTCTGAGTGTCCACAGCGCACTTGTCGTCGTCCTGCTCGATACGACGATTGACTCTGACTTATCTTCCTACGTCTTTGACTTCTCAGTACTCCATCCACACCAGTTTTGCCACTTCAGCTCGTCGACGTTGTGACTCTTCCTTGACGACATTCCAGACTTCTCATCATGGACATCATCGGCAGCTTCACAGTCTTCGTCACAATCAGTTGTGCCTACTTCATACGTTGTCACTCTCTTGCCACCTTACCCTATACAGTACCCTGGTTGTGTCGCATGATGGTCTCCCTTCACAACGTTCCCTTGAGTTAGGCTCTCCCTGGGTATACCCATAGGCATCGGGACCGTAGCGTTGCCCTGGCTTTCCAACTTACGGATCCAACTCCGACTTCTGCCACCTTAGGAGTCATTTGCATGATTCCCTTACCCATCATTTTTTCTACCCTCTGTCGGCCCTCGCGCCCTAGTTAGGCAGCCTTACATGCATCATCTAGGTGCGCTCTGTATACCCGGCTCCCGTATTCCCTTGCATAGTCAACCCTCCATAGCGGTCACCCCTTTAGTCGAGCATTACCCGTCCTGATGGTCTATCTGTTAGGGTCATTGGTTTTGTTCACTCCCAGTTCCCTACCCTCATTGAGCCTGATGACACGTGTCTCCCTGTCATTATGTGTGGATGCCCTCAGGAGTTTATCGATCCCTAGGCTGCATTTGCCACCCTCAGAGACCATCCCACCCTGTGGTTTGCGACACATCTCTCCTGTGACATATGGTTGTCTTGTTGTTGCTTTGTTGCTCTCAGACTGAGGCTACTTCCTCTAACCTTTCTAGGATTTAGTTGGTTTTGGTTTTGATGTTCTTCGGACTTATGCTCTAGTCAGCTGTTTCTAGACTGAGGCTACTGCCTGTAACATTCTAGGATTTAGTTGTCATTACTTTCTACTTTCCTAGGACATGTATACTAGTTAGTTGCTTCTGCTTTTACTTAAGCTGTTAGCTGTGACATTGCTGTTTTTTGTGACACTTTCTATCCTAGGTTGCATCGCATGGACTCAGCATGAATCTTGCTCTACATCCTAAACTACTTGGGTTTTCTTTTTCTCTGGTAGAGTTCCGCTTCTTGGCGGAAGCGTGCTTGTATCTAGGCGATCCATCACAGGCCGAGGATCATGTAGCGGACCTCTGGTTGGCCTGTGAGAGCAGCCCCTTGGCCTGTTCTCACAGACCCGTGTTGTATTCGGGGTAGTCCAGTCCAGGCCGGTACCGACAGTCCAGTCCAGTCCAATCAGTCCATTGAGGTATACCCCAGCCAGAGTTTGTATTTTGGATCATTCTACATTCGCACAGTTTGGAGTACGTGCGTTGGAGTCTCACGTGGGAGCTGCGCTGTGCCATCTTGGCCCCCTTTCATCCTCCATCTCCATTTCCATCCCAGGCGGAGCACCACACCTGGTGGGTCCGCCACAGATTTGATTAGAAACCTTTTTTTTTGTTTTTTTAATGGCTAATTCTACAACTAATTCAAATACATGTTGAATTGGAAAAAAAAAAAAAAAAAAAAAACCTGTCGAATCTGGACAGGACAGCCTTTCAGGCCTTTTTTTTAGTGTCATTGTAGTATTACGGTGAAACCTGTAGCAGCCACATTCCGTGCTCAAGCCTCCAACGAGGGAACATGCGGGAGCTGCACCCACCAGCAGGTGCGATACAGCATGTGGGCGATACCGGTTCACGCCAAAGCTAAACCAGACAATCGAAAATATAATCATTGACAAACCAACAAGAGAGAGGAGGAGAAGAGAGTAGAGACAGAAAGGAATAGAAAGAAAGAGAAGAGCAGGATGAAAGAGAAGAAGGAGAAGAAGAAATGGCGGAAGAGGATGCCGACCAAGATGAGTAAAGAATAAAAGAAGATAAGAAGACAAGAAGGCTCAACCCGGAAACTCCCGGAACGCGACCACAATGGCCCGAAGATTAGAATGAAGTGCCGCTGATACATCGAAAGGTAAGCGTGATAGCCTGGTGCAGCGAGCCTACGCTGTGTTTCATCCGGCCGCCACTACCGGAATCATCAGGAGTCTTCGTGTCGTTAGGAAAGGGATTAAGCTCTTTGATTTTCCTTAATAAGTATCTCTCAGCAAGTAGAGAGACTGTCCACCAGAAATGAGGTGTAGAGAACAGAAGACCCAAGAAACATCAAAATCAAGTCCAGATTCAGAAATAGAAAAAGCACGCACTACCTGCGGAATAGAGATCAAGTCCAGATTCAGAAATAGAAAAAGTACACACTACCTGCGGAATAGAGATAGAGTTTTCCAGAAGTAACAGCTCGCCAGTTCAGCAACACAAAACCCCAATGCTGACTTCCCAAACCCCAATGCTGACTTCCCTGTCAACCACTTGTCCGACTACCAGACAAAGTTCTGAGACCCACTAGCGCTTCGGGAAGCAATTTTCGAAAAGAAAAAGAAGAAGAAAACAAAACAAAACAAAAAAGGAAGGAAATATGAAAGAAAGTAAAAAAAGGCCCTATCCTAGCAATGGAAACCTGCGAAGCCCCACAGATTCGTGGTAAAGCCACAACCCTATGCTACCTTGGCCAAAAGGGGTCAGCCGGTAGCATCAGGTCTGAGTTTCTTCGATGGGCCAGTCGCTGTGCCTCCCTTCTGGTCCCCTCCCCCTATGAGCATCAGTAGTCTCTGCTCAATGCCATTTTGGGGAACCGACAACATATCTCTAGATGGTGGGTGTCAAGCTTGCCCAGGAAAGTGCAAGAGGCCAATGGGGTTTGAGCCCAAGCCCTCCTGAATGCCACTTGTTTGCCTTACCAACTGAGATAGGCTGCTGGATTGATTAGAAGTTCTGCTCAGGTGGCCATAGGCGTACCAACTGAGATAAGCCAGTTCCCAATTTTCTGCAAGGAATGATCACTCGTTCGCAGACATTGACTTGCTATTATATATCTATATCTATATATATATATATATATATATATATATATATGCGGTGATTGCTGGCAGTGGCAGCCAATGGTTGTCCTGACAGGATAGGCCACGTACCCTACCCCATCCCCACGTCAACACTCCCAGCGCACCCCCTGTCCCTACTATCCTACCTCAGTGTGACCAGCACTCAGGACCATCACCCCACAAGTATCGAGGGCAACTTTGACCAAAGAGCAGTGACAAGCACCGAGGCTGGGCCAAACCCCCAGCCCTAGTGGAAGGGGACGAACCTTGCCCTACGGGAACTTCGGACGCCAGGCTCATGCCATCTTCTACAGGCGCAGTTCTACTCAGCAGGAATCTTGCTTCTCTAAACTTACACTAAACAACGGGCCTAGATCAGTTTGTATCTGGATGCGATGAAGACCTGAGCTCGAATCCAGATGCAACTAGGAGAATGAAATTCTCGAATCATCTGGGCCATGATATTTGAAGAGGACTTCTAAACCACCAGTACTTTTGACCCTTCCCCTGCCGAGCCTGGAAACTCCCTGTGCGCCAGAAAAAAATGAACTGCTGCATCACTTCTTTTGGCTGGCGCCCCCACCCATATTGCTCCCGTAGGCCGACCCCCAAAACTTGCCCCTCACTTTCAACGTCAGAGGAAAATATGGCTGGCCGACCCCAAAACTTGCCGCTCAAGTTCAGCGGCGCCAGAGAAAAAATGGCTGGCAAACGCAGAGCTTGCACCTCATGCGAAGAAAACCGGGAAAAGCTATAAAACCATTTTTGACAAGAAGGATGAGCTAGGCGCGCTCTCACACTTCAGATTAGAAACTCTTGATCTCGTCCATAATATGCCAAAGTGGCTATGCATCAATAGCCTTCTCAAGATACATCCGCACGCACCTCCAGAGCTTTCACCCCTGAGTACACGACCACAAAAGGAGGAGGACGATGGAGAGGTCGGCCCATCTTATCATCCATCGCAATTGACAGTCCCCTCGTGCATTGCCGTCTTGTGGGGTGGCTCATCCGCGAACGGTACACTGCAGCTTTTTCCTTGGCTGTACAAAGAAGAAAATGAACAGCACCTATTTGACATATCTTGCAGCATTAAACAGCTTGAAGATTCCGTTAATAGTTGACGGGGTTGGTGCTGCAACCGCTTCGCTGCGATAATACTTCCGTGCTTGCTTATCCTGCTCTCCTTGGCACTCTTAGCGAGAGCTGCCCGCAAACTCTCCACCTCCTTCTCCAGGACACTGTTCTCGCGTTTGAGTCGTCTAGCCTCGACCGACATCGCCGTTTTCAAAAGCTCCACCTTTTTGGAAAGCATCTCGATTGCATCATCTTTGTCCTTAACGCACTGGTCTTTTTCCTTAAATGATCTCCTAACTCTTAGCAGCTCGTATTGCAAGGTCTCGTAGAACACCGCTGGTACATACTCCTCGATTTGTTCTTTTTGCTGTTGGGGCCGACTGTCCGTAGCTTCTGCACCACCTTGTTGAGAGATCCATTCCCAACCATCGCCGATCTCACCCTGAAGTGAAGTTTCCGTTCGGCCATTTGAAGTCTCTGCAAAGCACCCGCCTTCATAACGACTGCGTCCCACCGTGGCACCGCTGCTAGGCGGCTCAGAGCTGACGCGTGTGCCGTCTGCTTGACGAGCTTTCCCCGTCTCTGCCGTGCATTCTGTAGGGTTTCCGTCCGAAAACACTCCGTCACAAGCGATAACCAACTTCAGCTTGTCGTTTTCAACCGTTTGGCACGCCCCCGTTTCCTTTGAACTTTCCTGTGGCCCTTCTCTAACGTCCCTCGATTTCCCACTTAAGCTCACTGCAGTCGCACGGCCACGCCCTTCGCCTTCTCTTTCAAAACCGGACAGCAACTGATGCTCAGTACACTCCGATACTTGTCTCGAGGCTTCGTTTCCAATCCACGTGTCCGAGAGTGCTCTCTTCTCGTCCTGCTGCAGGTGGTGCTCGATGCCATAGCATTCCCTGATTTTTGCCTCCATGTCCTGGACCTGCGTAGCGGCAGATGACTGGTCCTGTGAGATCCTTGCTGAGCAGCCTACACAATCTTCCCTGCCGACTTTAGTGGTCTCCTGACTGACCTGGCTATCGCGTTTGCGGGAAAACAGGTTTGGAGATGCCGGCGAGTAGGTCTCCACTCGAGGAGGGTAGTCTGCTATGCGGTGTCCTCCAAGTCTGCCATCGTCGACGCCCTTATGCCCAGTCGATCGCCATCGCCGCCCATATGACTCATCATTACCTCGTTCCAGTCCAGACAGATAAACAAACCGCGAGGAAGGACTACCGGTTAAACAAACCAACTCCTGTGCGGTTTGTTTGTCTTGATCGTCTGAAGGGCACGATGGCCTGGATTTCTCCAAAAGCGGCCACGATGTGACCGAAGAGGAGGATGAGAATGTAGTGAAAAACACGTCATTCAGGGAAGTGGCCTGCTCGGACATTATTCCAGCTCGGAGCGGAGGCGGTGGCCGAAGAGCGCGCCGACCTAGCCCCACCCTTACAGCTTCTTCTAAAACTTCCAGCCGAAGCCGCAGCCTCTCCTTGAGTTGAGATTCGCTCTTCATAAGTCGTTCTGAATGCGCCAATTTGTCTCGTAGGAGGTTCACTTCACCTTGCAGGAAATGCCTATCCTCAAGCCATCGTTTCACCGGGACGACTTTTTCGTCATCATCCTTGAAGCGATTTGCCGCAGCTATGGCAACCCTGCTCGCTGCGGCCTTAGCACGGGCAAGGTCGAGCTGGAGCGTCTTCCTCTCTTTCTGAAGCTTTTGTACTTCTTTTCGGGTCTCCAGAAGCGCGTTTCCCGCCTCTCCGGACGCAGACGCAACGGCTTCTTGCAAGTCGTGAACCTTCAAGTTTAGTTTCTCAACATCCCGCATTTTCTGCTTGTGAAGCCTATCAAGCGTCCTGTTCTCGTCCTGAAGCGCTCCTAACCTCCTTAACAGTTCCTGATTCGTATTGTGCAGGTCTTCGGTTGTGTTAGCACGTTTCTCTGCTGCCGCAACATTCATCTCCGCGTCGACCAACGCCGCATCCTTTATCTTCATGAACTTGTATATCGTTCTCTTATCTTCTTGTAAACGCGCATTTTCACACTTCAATATCTTGATCTCCGCCTCGAGAGGCGCAAGAAGCTTGTCAAGGGCCAGACCGTTGGATTCTTTCTTATTACTAGCGCTAAGCCTCCTGAAGTTGGTCTCGGTGGCCGCCTGGTCCGCTATAGCGCCCTTCTTCTCTGCCACAGCAGTTTTAGCCTCCAGAACCTTCGCCTCTAACGGTTTCTCGGTTGCTCGAAGTTTTTCGTTCAGGCTTTCGACTTGCTCGCTCAGATCTACTAGAGCTTCGTCCTTGTTCCTATTCAATTGCTGTAGTGTTTGCACCTCTGCTCTAACGTGGCACAGCTCGCGATCCTTTTCACGAAGCGCGTTTCGAAGTCGGTCAAGCTCCAGCTTCAAAGGAGAGTTCTCCAATGCTGCCACTGTTGACGATGCTGTAGTAGTGGCGCCTCCCTCGGCACAAACGCTCGTAGAGATGCCGCCGGAAACATGACCTGGTGACGGGGTGGCAAACGGAGGATGGATGACCACCGGCGATTGAGACATCTTGCTACCCGCCTTGTCGAAAACGCCAATGACCGCGCGGGGTCACCACGACAGGCTAGGTTGCCGAAAGTCGAAAAACAGAATCACCGATAGCAACAGAGGAAGCTGCGGTCATACGGCTAGCCGTAACACCATAACCAGTGATAGCGACACTGCAGATGCGGTTGCACCGGCGGCAACCACTACTGTTACAAGAGACAGCAACAACAAAAGCTCTGTAATCAGACGGTGGCGACAGCGTTGGGCGGAATCCTTTCTGGCGGTGGTCGTTGCTGCTTCCGTGCTCATATGCCTCACCGATCTCACCGCTTGTCCGACCAGAACTAACCCACAAGATAGACCTATAGAGAGGAGCTACGCTACCAATAATTTGTTGAGAACTTGATCTTCGCTCGCAAGGGTGAGTTCAGTTTCACAAGACCCGCGTTTCAGTAAGTATACGACCAAGAAACGGAAGTTGTGTGTGTGTGTGTGTGTGTGTGTGTGTGTGTGTGTGTGTGTGTGTGAGAGAGAGANTGTGTGTGTGTGTGTGTGTGTGTGTGTGTGTGTGTGTGAGAGAGAGAGAGAGAGAGAGAGAGAGAGAGAGAGAGAGAGAGAGAGAGAGAGGCAGAGAGGCAAGTTAATCTCGAACAAAGTGGCGCCGGAGTGCGCTTATTTGTGCGCAGCGAGAGGGGAATCGGGCGCTCCCGGTTGTTCCCAGATCCTAATGCTTTCGAGCGAGAGTCCGCCCTTGCATGCATGCAGGATCGATGGCGAGAGATGGTTAGAATCTCGCCCGAGGCCAGTTTAATAAGGCATTTCGGACAAGAGCTAAGATGGTAAAAAGACGAATGGAAGCGGGTCAGAGGGGGGCGTGTAAATAGCCGTGAGATGCCCAAACGTCAGAACCTACGCGGCTCAGCTCGTACTGTATCGCTGCGAGACATTATCATACCTCAATCATAAATCTCACATCTGCAACCTTTCCTCCTTTAGAAGCAAGCAGTGCAGGCATCGCACATTCACGTACTGGCTGCGACGATTGCCTGGGGTAGTCACGTCATCAGGAAAATCTTAGTGAGGTGGGGCAAAACTGTTAGCCCCTCTAATTTCCATTTTCCGGCCAAAAAGGAAGAGGGTGAAAGACAGGACAGCCCTTTCATTTTTGAGAGAAACGAAACTAGCCCGTATAGAATGCACGTGATCATCTGCGCCTGCAGTTGGCACTTCGGCTGGCATCGTCACTTCCAGGTGCATTCTGACCGGATTTCTTCATTTTCAAACCCGAGGGTTTACTCATGCACTTTCATCATAGAACGAAAGCGTAGTCAAACGGATTGAGACAAGCCAAGCCGCTCACCGTCTCAGGGACTGAGGCCATCCTAGCATTACACACATGGACCCCAACCCACCCGAGACACTGAACATCTGAGGTCGTCGCGCCACATAGAATTTCCAATCGCTGCAGAGGCTCACGGAGGTGCAGTAAAGGCCCGGAGAAATTTACATTAATTTGGGGGAAGGGGGAACTGTATGACGCTGCATGTTCATCTCCATGCCACAGCCGCAAGACGATGGAAGACAGCTGCGTAGTGGAAAACCGTCTGGTGGTTCGTCTTCCAAGAACAGGCTCGACAGAGGTGCGTTGACGGCTCGGATAGGATAAAGATCAATGTTGTATAGAGGGGAGGAGGGTTGAGACGAACGTTGTATTTAGGGAAGGAGGTGGAGACGAGCCTTATATACAAGGAAGGCGGGTGGAGACGTGGTAGTATAGAGGGAAGGAGAGTGGAGACGAACGTAGTATAGAGGGAAGGAGGGTGGAGATGACCGTTGTATAGAGGGAAGAAGTGTCGAGATCAACGTTGTGTAGAGGGAAAGAGGGTAGAGACGAACATCGTATATAGGAAGGGAGGGTAGAGATGAAAGATATAGGAGGAAGGACGGTAAAGATGAACCTCGTGCAGAGGGTAGAAGGGTAGAGACGAATCTTTTATAGAGGGAAGGGGGCCATGTGCTGCGCTGTCCGTTCATCTCGATATTATACTACCTTTCCCCCCCAATGGAACGTAAGGTGCTTGGAGTTGTATTGGGGTGTCTTTCAGTCTAAATACAGTTATAATCACCCTACGTTTTATTCGGGGGAAGAAGGTAGTGGGATGTCCGTTCAGCTTCATGTCAAAAATAGTAGTGCCAGTGGGACGTCCGTTCATCTCGATATCATAGTGGCAGGTCTCCGTATCGAAGTAGCGGGATGTTCGTTAATTCCGATATCATTGTCGCGGGACGTCCATCGATCTCGATATCGTAGAGCCGCTCGGTTCTTCTTCTCCAAAACTGTTACATTTTGCTCCAATACGGCTGGTGATTCGTCCCGGTGTGGTCTTCAATCTGGTCACTGGAAGCTCGTTACTGGTCGTTTTTATTCGAACACTGCTAGTGCTCACACCTCCTTGGTCCACTTAGTACAAACAAGCTTCTAATTGAGTACTCTGTCGATTCGTCCTGGATATGTCATTCGATTACGGCTGTGGGTTCGTCCCGGTGTGGTCATCAATCCAGTTACTGGGACCTTCTTCTTCAAACACGGCTGGTGTTTCCAACTTCTTCGCGTCAGTTCTGTTCGAATACTCTGGCGATTCGTCCCGTCGCTGCAGTTCCTGCGAGCTTTTGCTTCGGATACTCTTGCGATTCGTCCCGTCGCCCCAGTTACTGCGAGCTTGTGTTCGAATGCTCTTGTGATTCGTCCAGGTGTGGGACCCTGCCTGGGTACTCGTCTTCTGTTGGAATACAACAACATAGCGACGGGGTTCCTGGAAGCATTCTGACCGGCGCACCCTTTGCCACTGAAGGCCCGAGAAACGAACACGAGGTTAGACACGAATGGCCACAAGAGGAGCACGCCAAATGGTCACTGCAGACAAAGGCAACTCCTTGCTGGTAATGGTCCCAGTACCGTGTAACTGTATAATAGCTTAGCACCCGTGGGGTGCGGGCCGCATAAAAAGTAATGGTAAAGATCAGTCAAAGTACTGACACAGACTCAGGGCACGCTCACACTAGGATCTATATTCTGAAAGTCCTCAAAAAGTGGGGTAGAGGAGTGCTCACACGCATTTTCCAGATCCCCAAACCACTTCTTTGGTTTACCATTTGTCAGGAGCCGCGGGGGTTGGTGTTTTTTTTTTTTTTTTTTTGGGGGGGGGGGGGGCAGGGGATTTGCTGTGACCATAACCTCCAAGAGGTTACCGCAAATTGGTATTCTTTTTTCGATTTAACATGCAATATTGATGAAAACATCATAGAAGAAGATATTGGCTATCAAACAATTGAAGCCTTTGCCATTTGTGAAGTGGAGGTAGAACAGGGAAAAGAAAAAAAGATAACAAAAAACACACGTGAGGAATTGGGGTCCCTGCTGTGTGACTTGCCAAATCCCATTTTCCCAAATTGTGTTTGGGCTGCAACTGTGTGGTTTCCAAAATGGGGACAGAGTGTGACGGTGTGACCGGTCCTACCACTAAAACGGCAAATTGGGCCTTCGCATTCTCTCAAAATGTGGTAGTATGGGATCATAGTGTGAGTGTGCCCTCAATGGAATTTTTTTTTCAAGTTAAGAATATACTTTTTAAAAGTTTTCTTTTTCTGAAGGAGGGAGGGGGGGGGAAGGGCGCTGTCCGATCCATGTCTTGCTTCACAACACACAAACCCCAACTTAAACCTACTTTCACATCCAAAAAAACTGTACAAGTATGTTTATTGATTGCAAAAATCTATGTTCATGCTCAAACAATATATTCTAACTTGCTAAGCGCCCGCAGTGCGGGCTATGCCCGCAGAAATAACAAATTTTGCAGGTAACCTCACATGGACCACTCGCATAAACTCAGACAGACTTAAAAAAAAAAAAAAGGGGAATCAAAGGGTAATAATTTACTATTAAAGAATAGCCTAAAACTGACCGATTGAAAATTCACAAAAAAAAAAGGAGGAAGGGCGAGGAGCGACAGAGATAGACAGAGAGTGAGAAAAAAAAAAGAAAAAGATAGAACCTCTGAGAGAGAGAGAGAGAGAGAGAGAGAGAGAGAGAGAGAGAGAGAGCAAAGAATAAAGAAAGAGCAACACGAGCATACAAAGAAAAAAAGTTTAATATGAAGATTTTTCGTTCCATTGAAGTCAGTAAGTGGGCGCAGTATGATGAAGGCACAATTATTACGTAGTGGAATCCACCTTGACTTCAAAAAACACAATGATATTAAGTCAATCTCTCTCTCTCTCTCTCTCTCTCTCTCTCTCTCTCTCTCTCTCTCCACATCCATTTATTTGTCTCTCTGTTCCCATCTCTCTTGTCAGGGCAATTACTTTATCGAAACTGGAACCGAAGTGAAATCAGACTGCACTCCAAACTTGCTTACAACATATGCATACATGGACAAACCACTGGCAAACCAACTTCTCCAACTCAGAATCAACAATGAACTTGCACTTAAAATGCAGTTCAAGACAACTGTACAACTTGCGGCTATGGCCGCCGAAAAATCTCCACCACCAGCCTCACTCTCTCTCATGCACACATGTACGACGATCTACCCTGAATGTCCACGCTACACAGACACACACTCTGTACACTGTCTGTAACAACAGCTGGGCGGCTATGGCCGCCATCGTCTTCCTAGCTATAACCATCGACATCTTCCTCCTGGCCAGCTATGGCCGTTGTCTTCCTCACTGCCCACTTCAGCTCCGGGCACCTGTAGATCTCCACACACAAGTCACCTAGGCACCGCTTCCGCATGGCTCACAGGCGAATGAATGAATGGCTAGACACTGCCTCTTTGTTTATACTTCTTCTGATGTGGTCGGGCCCTGCCTCAAAACGCATGGGCCTGGCCTCTTACCTTGTGGGCCTGGACCTCTAAACGCGTGGACCCCAGGTCTGGAAGTTTCCAAACCGCGTGGCCTTTCTGGCCCAAAATGCGTGGCTGTTGGGCCCCAGGATGCGTGTTCCAGAACATTCTGCATACTGCGTGACCAGGACCTTCCCCCACGTGCAGCCCTTCCTTGATACTTGCTGACTGGACCGGCCTACAGGGACCTACAGTCTTCTAGAGCCTACATACCTACAGACTGACCC